TCGACGCATTGCGCTCTTCACCGTAAGGACCCCACTTGCCCGCGGCCATGTCCGCGATGAGCTCCATTTCGCGCTCGTACGCCCCCGGGCCCTCCTGCTCGTCCATCTGCTTCCAGTACCGCTGCTGCGCCGTCAGCCCGTCGTCGTCCTCCACGAGCGACACCACGCTGTCCGCCCCGCGCCCGTCCGTCTCGTCCTCCGCTGGGATGTGCACCACCCACGGCCCGTCCTTGCCCCCGTGCTCCTTGTGCGCGGCGTGCGTGTGCGTCTCACCTTTGTCTTTTACTATACGGCCGGAGGTGGTTGGTGCGGCTTTGGCGGGGTTCCCGCCCTGAGCGGCCTGCGCAACGGCCATCGCGCGTTCGCAAACGCTACACCGGCAGTGGTACAGCGGTGCACATGCTTCGCGCCAAACCTGCATCAACGAGACTCAGCATGCGCTCGTGAGCTGACGAAAATACGCACAAATGAGAAAAATACGCACAATCCTGAGGGCCTCCAGACTATACTGCGGCAGATGCGCGATTGTCTCGGGGATGTAGGGAATCGGCCGCAGCAGCCGGGGCGACTCGAGCACAGGCATGACCGTGATAGTCGGCTGATGCTCCACCGCGAGCCTTTGCCTCCGCTCCTCGTCCGCCTTGTCTTTCCTGTGCTCTCCCAACGGCGGCGGGCTCGGCGTCGTCCCCAGCGTCGAAGTCGACAAAACTGGACTCGTATCGCTCGTGCGCGGCGTTCCCGCCGACGAATCGTCGCTTCCCTCCGTCTTATGCCACCGCTCCCCATGCCGCTCCCGCTCCCTCGCCTCCGCCTCGTCCTGCTCTCGCGCGTTCCTCCTCTTCGCGCTCCAATCCATCCCATCGAACCAGATCCCCTCCTCCTCGCGCACCTCCGCCACCACCTCCGCCAGCGTCATGCGCGCCGCGCGCATCGCGGGGTCGAGCGGCTTGCGCACGCCCTCGCCGCCCGCGGCCGCCTCCGCCGCGTCGAGCGCGCACTCGACGACGATGCGCCGCACGACGTTGCGGAACGCGGGGAGGAGGAGCGTCCGCATCTGGCGCATGTGCGCGTGGTGCGCGGCCTCGGCGAGCTGGTAGCTGGGCGGGGAGGGCCCGTGCGGGCCCGGGTGCCGCTGGTCGGCGGTGGGCGCGGCGGCGAGGAGCGCGTCGGTGGTGTCCATGGTGGAGGAGCTGGTGGAGTGGGAGGGGGGTGGGGAGGAGGGACGCGAGATGGCCCAGGCGACGGGGTGCACGGCGGGCACGTCGATGTCGGGGTGATCTGCAAAAAGACAATTAGCGCGAGTTTCGAGCACATCGAGAGGGAGAACCCACCAGGTACTCGGTTATTGTAATACACATCGGCCGGCGCTAACCACGCTCCGTCTAATATCTTCGCGCGCGCCCAATCCCCCAACGCCATCTCCTTGACGTTCAGCTCCAGCGCCGAAGCCAGCTCCTCCTCATCCGCCTCGTCAAAGTCGTCCAACGAGTCGTCATCGTCATCGTAATCCTCATACTCGTCGTCGTAATCCTCGTACTCGGCGTTGGCGGTGTAGCCGGCGGCGGCGTTGGCGGCGTTGTTCGCAAACGCAGCCGTGTCGTTCCGCCCACGACGCCGATCCACGCTATCAGGAGATGCGCTCCGCGCCCTCGCACGTCGCTGCTCCCGTTCCCGCTCGCGGTCCTCCCTCGTAACGAACACCACCTCCGCATGACCCGTATAATCCGGTCTATCGTCCCCTCCTGCCCCACGCCCGCGCTCCGCAGCCGCACCCGCCCCCGCAGCCGGCGCCTCCCCTGACCACCGCTTCGCCGCCACCGCCTGCCCCATCAACTCCCCCCACCTTGTATGCCTTCTCAACCACCCCCGCTCCCCCGCCACCTGCAACACCCTCGCCACCGTCCCCTCCCCAAGCTCCACCCACGCACTCACCGCCCCCTTCACCGCCCCATCCTGCGGCTCAAACACCCCCGGCAGCGCCCCCCTCGCTCCAAGACTCCGCATCACCTCCTCCTTCCCGTTCTCCGTATCCTCCACCGTGTCCCTTAACGTCCCCCCCTTCACAGGCACCCCCCTCCCCACCGCGCCGGGGTCGCTCGTCACCTCCGCCGACAGGATGGCAAAGCGCCACAACCACTCGGCGCGGCACGAGCGGCAGGTGACGTGCACGCCCGGGAAGACCGCCTCGTCGTCGTTGCGCGTGATCCCGCCCGAGGGCTCCGCGCCGAGCCCGAGCATGGGCCCCAGCCCCGCGCCCGCGCCGATCGCGCGCAGGCCCTCCGCCTCGAGGTGCTGCGCGCGCGCGAGCGCGTCGGCCGCGGCGGCGCGGCTCTCGTACGCGGGGCCGTGCATGTGCGTGTTGCTCGTGGGGTTGTCGGTGCCGGTGCTGGGGTTGGGGTTGCTGGTGGGGTTGGTGGAAGAGAGGACGCCCCCGCCCTGCACCCACCGCACAAGCGCCTCCGCGCGGTCGAGCTCCTCCCTTGCGCGCTTGACGTTCTCGCCCCTTACCGCGCGCCCCAATTCACCGTCCAAAAGACAGACGCCGCACCAGCGCCCGCGCCGCCGCTCGTAGTGGTCCTTGCACAGCGGAATCGCGCCGAGGCGCAGCGTGGACGTCGCGCGCCGCGCGGAGGCGGTGCCGAGCCCGTGCGCGGAGAGCGGCGCGTTGATGCGGCAGGGGAGGCACGCGTGCGCGAGGAGCGCGCGGAGATGCAGGTAGGGCGAGAGGCGCTGCTGCTGGTGCGCCCGCGAGGAAGAGTTGTTGGAGTGCTGTTGGATGGGCGGCCAGCCGAGGTAGGCGAATTGGCCCAGGGGGTCGAAGAGCCCCAATGCGTTGTTCCAGAATTGGTGGTGCTCGACTGCGGGGGGTTAGGGTGAGGTGGGGGAGGGGGAGGGGGAGAGGGAGGGGGACGTACGCGCGAGGCCCCATTGCGGGCAGACGGTCATGAGGAGCTCGACTTCGCGCATGTCGCGCGCGGCGACGTAGATCTGATTTTCGTGCCAGGGTACGTATTGGTTGCCGCCATGTAGCCGCGGGTTGAGGTCTGGAATTTCCCAGGTCGCGGGGAGGGGGAGGGTGGGGGAGACGAGCATGAGGTGAAAGGTCGCTATTAATCTGTGGGGATGTTAGCATACAGGACCATGAAGGGAGGAAGAGAAGATCAAAATAAAAATCGAGGATTGAGAGCAAGACCTCTCCCGCTTCCGTGAACGAAACAGATGCAGCCAGCGGACGTCATCTCCACCGACGCGTCGTGCATAAAACGACGCCGCGCGGCAAGTGCTTGCACGACATGTAGATCATGAATCGCGAGCGGCCTCCCGAGAAATCGAGCACCGAGTAAGACAAGATGAAGTGACAACGAGGACGAGGCTCGCGCGTCCATCGCCGCCCATGTCCAAAAGAAAATAATGATAATAGATCTGGCGCGATCGAAGGAAAGCCGCCGATTGACACCGAGCGGCATCGACGTCATCTCCATCCGTGTTGGACACGACGCGCGCGCCATTGTCCCCGGCGGAGAGTGAGGGGAGGACGGCGGGGGACGCGCGGGTAGTGTGCAGCGTCCGATAACAGTAGCCAGGACGCGCGGACGAATACGGGAAGGGTGGGAGGCTGCATAATGCACGCCAAGACGAGCCAAGGTTCGACGCGCCAAGGCGTACGGCGCGACGTGCTGCACAGCGGACGGCGAGCGCACCAGCGACGCGCGTAGGGCGCGCAAGAGCGAGAGGTGTGAATTGCATGCATCCTCTGCGCGATCGTCGAGTTGGCGGAATGACCCAGAGGTCCCCACGTCAAAGCGAAAGAGAAAACACAGAAAACGGCGGGCAATGCGGGGCGGGGCGGGGCGGGTGGGGAATGGGGACAGTGTGCGTGGAGGGAAGTGTGTAAAGGAGAAAACGAAAGTAAAGTATAGATGACGACAAGTAATTGTGGCGTCAAAACATCGCGCACAATGCCATTCCAGACACACTGCAAAGCTTCCAATAGCTCCCCCACATACGCAGCAAGCGCACACCGCACGCGAAACCACAGAAACGCCGCAAAAGGTGCCAAAAATCGAGACAAAATGACAAAAAATGTTAGATCAAGGTCACAAACGCACCGAACGACCTCTGCGGGCAGCTGGGGCCACGAACGCAGCGCCTTGCCCTTGTACACCGTCGTCCGCGTCTCTGACGCCGTCCTGCCCCCATCTTGACCGTTATCGGCGCCGCTTCCACCGTCGCTTCTTCCGTGGCGATCTTGCGCCAATGCTGTGGTGCCCATCGCGGGCGTCGTGGTGCCGGGGAGCGAGCTCGTCGGGGCGGGCAGGGAGCGGGGTGTGGTTGTGGTGGAGGGTGGAATGGGTATGTGCATGTCTTGTTGGGTGGTCAGTGCGTAGCGGAGGCCGGAAATCGGAAGCGGCAAGCAAACAAACGACGAAAACGATCAGGTCATGTGCTGTGCACGGACCATGCACAGCATTCGTCACCCAAGAATGTGTCATGTTTTGGACTTGAACTCGCCCTTCACGATCTTCCAGTTGACTGAGCCCAAGTATTGGTTTGTTGCTCACTCGAATAAAAAGCCAGCGATTTCAATGACATGCAGATGCGGGGACTCGAACCCCAGTCAACTTGAATGCTTTTTCTATCTTCAAATTCTTCCAGTTGGACACAGATTGCAAAGGTGCACCGTTGCACGACAGCCGCATTATCTTCTGCTTGCAACCGTTGCTTAAACTCTCTTTCTTTCTCAAACTCTCTTTCTTTCTCGATCTTGCGCGCCTAAACAAGACTCAAAGGGACCGGCGTTCTGTAATTCTTTTCACGCACGTACAGCACCCGACATCCGCGTTCGCTATCGGACTCCAGGTAATACACTACTTTCACCTAAACCTGCAGTGAACTCATATTGGACTTGGGTTGACTTTCCTTGTTGTTTCACAAGATAAAGTGGTGAATCCAGTGCCGTTCATCTCTTGGGTCAACCTCGCTCCCCACATAGGTAGGAATCGGGCGTAGTGTACGGAACACCGCGAGTTCAACTTGCTGAAAGAGTCTACGTAAACTCGCAATCCGGGGTTCGACTCCCCGCGTCCGACTTAAACTTGGTGGTCGGTGTCTTTTTTTGTCCTCCCTTTTGTTTTAGCTCAATCCGCGGCAAGATGTTGCTCGTTTGAAGGAATCGTGGGTATGTTCGGTGCAAGCTGATCACCTTATCGCTAACATTTGAACCAAGGCAACTTATATTCGTGTGGTGCGACAAGTGCTTTTTCAATTTCCTTGGGAGACTAATTGATTGCAAAGGTGCACCATTGAGTCAGCGTTGGCTGGATTTCATTGTGGGCAATGCGTGATGCATGATCTCCCTATTGGCCTGCGAGTAACTGTATTGTCCCTCTATAATTTGAACTCAGCTTCGTCAGCGTTCGCGCACAACGTCCGCATTCCGGGTGAGTCCTCAAGTTGATCATTGAACTCGCACTTTCTGAACATTCAACAGTGTTCCTCAAGATAAAGGGGGGAATGCATTGCTTTTAGGTTCACCTCGTTCTCCACATCGGTAGGAATCGGGCGTGGTGTACGCAACACCGCGAGTTCAACTTGCTGAAAGAGTCCGCGTAAACTCGCAATACAATACGGGGTTCGACTCCCCGCGTCCGACTAAACTCCGTCTTCATTTCTTTTTTGTCTTCCCTTTTGTTTTGGCTCAATCCACGGCGAGATGGAAACACAGAAGGAATCGTTGGTATGTCCGCTGGAAGTTCATCAGCTTCCCTTCCCGCTCGCTGAAATTTGGTATCAAGGCTACTAACCTGAATGTGGCGCAACTCTCTCAGCTTCCAGTGCAAGGTTTGCTCGAGCTCATATATTTTTATTCGGTCGGGCGCTCTCATTTAAATTCAGGTGACCTCTGGGCGCGTCACGTCGCTTGAAGGTCGCGTCGGTCTTCTAAGTCTCATCGAGGAATACTTCACCGGTGTAATTATCCCCGTCACTGATATCCATTTCTCGTTATCGCAGGTTCAAACAACGCAAGAAAGCGGATGCCGCGCCGAACAGGAGTAACTTACTACTTGATCTTTGCAGCACGACGGCTTGCAACGCGATTCGGGTTGGATTCCCCCCATCCGATAGTGGATTTGAATTAACGTCCCTTTTTTTCCTTTACCTGGATATCTTTCTCCTGCTACTTACATCTCAGGTCTTTACCCGACCGACAAACGACCTAAACCCAAGAAGCGTATATTTTGAGCTCGATAATGCCGACTCCGTCGGGGGTAGGATGAGCACGACGACGGGCTACAGAGGACTATTAACACTCGGACGTGGTGTACGAAACACGGCGAGTTCAATTGATAATGAGTCCGCGTAAACTCGCAATCCGGGGTTCGACTCCCCGCGTCCGACTTGAGCTTCGTGGTGGATCTCTTTTGTCTTCCCTTTTATTTTGGTTCAATCCGCGGCGAGATGCTAGGATACGCAAAAGGAATCGTTGGATGTCCGCTGCAAGCTTATCAGCTTCCCTTCCCGTTCACTGAAATTTGATATCAAGGCAACTAAAAGAAGTGAACGTCTCTCAGCTTCCAACTCAAGGTTTGCTGGAGCTCATTGATATTCTGGTTGAACTGACGCTCTCTCGAATCAGGCCACCTCTGCACAGTAGGGATCGCTTGCGAGCGAATATTGCGTCGGTCTTCTAATTCTCATCGAGAAATACTTTACCGGTGTGATTACTCGTGTTATTTGAACTAATATCCATTTATCATTATCGCAGGTTCAAACAACGCAAGAAATCGGATGTGCCGCACCGAACACTGCGAGAAAGTTCTTAATCTCTGCGGTACCAACAGACGGCGCCAGTCGGGGTTCGATTCCCCCCATCCGATAGTGGATTCGAATGTCCCTTTTTTTCCCTAGAATCAAATCTGAAGAATCCCGATCAACACCGAAGATGGAGGGCTGAATTGGCTTACCCGACGCTGGACGTGCCTCAGTTTCTCACCACTGACCAACTGATCTAATGTTGGTTTATTACAATTTAAACAGCCCGAGGAAACGGATATGACGCAGGGAACACAGCAACCACTCTTCTCGGATAACACTCCAAGGACCACATAATGACACTCGGACGTGGTGTACGGCACACTGCGAGGCATTCTGTATGTGTTCTCTGATCCACTTCGCAGACCGGGGTTCGACTCCCCGCGGCCGAATAAGGAGGCTAGCTTTTTATTTCCGTACCAGGTCGTTATTTTCCTTTATCGCAGCTTCGAATAACGCAAAAAGCGGATGTTATAACAATTGTTCCTCAAGATAAAGGGGTGACTCCATTGCCCTCATTTCTTTCACTAGTAGGTTACCATCGTTCCCCACACAGGTAGGAATGGGACGCGGTGTACGCACCACCGCGAGTTCAACTGATTGAGTGAGTCCGCGTAAACTCGCAGTACGGGGTTCGACTCCCTGCGTTCGAATTAATCTTCCGCAGCGCGCTTTTTTTTTTGTTTTGGCTCAATCCACGCCGCGATGGAATGTTTTCGTTTACCAAAGGGATACTGCAGCGCGAAAGGATGTATTGGTATGTCCGCCGCAAGCTGATCACCTTCTCGCTAACGTATACTTTTAGCGTCGGTCTTCTAATTCTCATCGAGAAACTACTGGTGCCTTTAACTGATGTCGGCTTATTGCAGGTTTGAACAACGCAAAGAGCGGATGTGCCGCACCGAACACCGCGAGTAAATATTTAATCTCTGCGGTACCAACGGCACGGCGATTTCGGGTTCGACTCCCCCCATCCCGATGAAACAGGAACAGATCCCCTTTTTTCATTTCCTCGCAGGGGCAACGTAAGTGATTATTCTCGTTCCCGACCGACTATCACTGGCATCCCGCTTACCCTACCTGCCAGTGCTTGCCTACCTCAGGAGGGTAGGTTTGAGCTCAAGAATCCACGTCGTCCGCTCAAGTAGAATCAGCACTACCAAGGACTCTATGTTGAAACTTGGACCTGGTGTGCGGTACACCGCGAGACCGTCTGGCATGTGCATCTACTACTAGTCCCTCGCAGGCTGGGGTTCGACTCCCTGCGTCCGAATAAGGATGGTGTGAAGGGCTTTTCTTTTCCCCGTCCCGGGGCCGGGTCGTTTGTTTTCCTCCGCAGGGCCGCTTGAATCAAGCTGGGTTGAAAGATTCTCGCCCGACGTGCCACATCGAAGGTGTGTAGTCTGTGAGTTGTTTTACCCCGATGTATTTCTAATAATTCAGGAGACCAGTGTTGAGGTTCGACTCAGTCGCAAAACTCAAGCCATTGAGCGTTAAAAGAGGAAGGATATATGGGTAATCACTCTCAGAACATTATGCTATCATAACAAAGCCCCGAAGACTTTGGCGCTGAAAACCAACGCGAATAAAATGAATTGAACATCCCCGAGATCGCCGACGCTGGTTCCATAACGTTCCCACTGTTTGAACCATTCGCACGTCGCAGATGGTGTTCCAGAGCTATTGATTTATGGGCTATTTCACTACAATGAGTACGTCGGACGTGGCCCGTGAAGTTGTTGCAGTGGTTCAGTACACTCAACTTCGCAACACGGGTTCGATTCCCCGCCTCCGAATAGGATCCACATAAACTCCCTTTTTCCTCCCTTGTATCCTGGAAGTTGATTGATTGATTTGTCTCGTTCCTTTTCCAGATTCAGACCAACGCTCAACATACCGATTTTGGTTTCAGATACTTGTTCTACCCAGCCGTTGCGGGATCAAAATTTGCCGTACCGGGTTCCGCAACTAAGGACACACTCAAACTGTCAAGATATCCTGGAGGGCAGATTTTGGGCCGTAGATAAAATGAGCACTACCCATACTCGCACTCGGACGTGCGGCCCACCGCGAAATATTATGTGTTTCCTTGATCCTCCTCGCGCTCCCCGGGTCCCGGATGGCGCTCCTCCCAGAATTCTTTCTTTTCTTTCAGGGTCTCCTAAAATTACATAGGTTTGAATTGGACCTCGGTGTATCACTCTCGCCCGAGGGAGCTGTTACAGTATTTTGGGGAATCAAAGCGAGACACTCGTTGAACATCCCCGAGATTGCTCACAGTTGTTTGATATCCGGCCGCATGGAACCATTCGTACATCACATATATGCGCATGCAATTTTGAAACTATTTATCACTGAAATGTTCAGAATATAGGCCTGAACTTCTGTCGCTAGTAGTCCTTGATCTGCTCCCGGATGTACGCAATGGTCTCGCTCTCCAACTTCGTACTCGACGCGCGCTTGTCCGCCTTGCCAATTTTGCCCCATGGAACGAGGTACTGCACGCCTTCGTTAGGATTCAGTGTGGTTGGTAGTGTGAAGAAATTTTACCTCGCCATTGATCTGAGCGGGGGATGCGACCGTAGCGCCCCAGAGTTGTGTATAAGCGCCGAGCCTACGAACGGTTTCATTACCATGGTGATAATCAACCACAGTACACGCACGGAGTGGGGAATAAGAGGGCGTTTCCGATCACTTGCAACCAACCCGCGACATGGCTACGTATTGTCAACCTCAGGACGGAAATGTGCAAAGAGGACAACATACCGCTGTAGTTCCGATTTGATGCTCCCCGGATGAAGAGAGCACGAAACAAGCACGTCCGAGTGCGCCTTCGCAAAGTGGTTCGAGATAATGATATTACCGAGCTTGCTTTCGCCATATAGAACCCTGCTCGTCATGTGTTAGAGAATCGGCGAAGAATATTAGATGAGGGAGGCACACATGCGACTTTTCCAATTCCCGGTTTTCTTCACCCAGGCGTCGCGCTCTCGCCCGCCCTTGAGACTTTCAAAGACGAGGCCATATTTTGGGGCGAACGCATGCCCTTGCGAAGAGGTGTTAATCACGCGCGCAGGGACCTTGCTTTCCTCGAAGGATTTGGTGAGAGCTGGAAGCTAGCTGCAAGTCAGCACAAATCGTGAGATGTGTTGAATTTTCGCCACCAAGAGCTCCGTCAGGAAGAAGTGGCCAATCACGTTGGTTCCGAATTCTAAAGGGAAAAGGTGAACTCGAGCGGGCGTTTGAAGGTGATTTGCACGTACGAAGATCATAGTTC